GACCGAGTTGACCGAGTTGACCAGGGTAGTGGACCGAGTTGACCGAGTTGACCAGGGTAGTGGACCGAGTTGACCAGGGTAGTGGACCGAGTTGACCGAGTTGACCAGGGTAGTGGACCGAGTTGACCGACGTTGACCAGGGTAGTGGATCGAGTTGACCGAGTTGACCAGGGTAGTGGATCGAGTTGACCAGGGTAGTGGACCGAGTTGACCGAGTTGACCATTCTTCAATTGCAGAAAACGATTGCACCAATGCTGCGGCTCTTGGTTGTCTATACATGTATTACCTAAATATGCAATGTGAAAATATGTACTTAACAATGCCAATGTCTTAACACTTGTTGTACATCGTCTTATTGATCTTGCAAGTGTGTGAAGAGAAAAATAAAGAAAAACAATAAGAAGAAAGCATTAGCAAGAAATTCACTTTTTTTAATTAAAAAAATCATCACATTGATAAGTAACACAAAGCAGTAGTTGGAGTATTGTTCCTGTACGTCAACGACTCCGGGAGGTGAGCTTGGTGTAGTGCTCCCCTGTGATTGGTTGGTAGAAAAATGATTGACAGTTAGGATAGACGACGCGGGGATCTACAAGCACGGGGATTGTGGGTCCTTCCGTTAGAACCGGGGCTAAGCAGGATGGAATATTGTTAAAATTCAAACATTTCCTTTACAGATGATGAGACAATGTATCCTTATTGTGCTTCAAACCTTAGTTTTTGTCTGTCAAATGTAATGATAGTTGTATTGAAACCTCATCTTATTTTTTTTCTTCAGCAGATGGGCAGGAGACCCCGCCCAAGGAGAAGGTTGAGATCATCCACAGGGACCACGAAGCAGCCAAGGACAAGGTTCCCCCTCCCCCTCCCCAGAGAAAGTACTACATCACAGCCGACTATGACGACAGGGACTACTCCTCAAAGGTGGGCTTTGTTTAGTCTCAGGTTAACAAAGGTTTATATGTAGGTTCAGCTTCCTTGTTACTAATCTAACGAAATTGCAGTGTAAACACAGGCTGATTTTTTTACACATTTTTAGCTGTTTTCATCAGGATTTCTCCTTTGCACTGGTATACTGCTTTTTTACATGGATTCTGCCCTGCCAATTTGATACTGTCTTGCAACCACCAAAGGACCTGCTTGGAGATTCGGTCCACTATACTTGCCTCAATTAGTCAATCATCAGAGTGGCTTCGTGGACATGAGATTGAGAGGTCACAGGCCATGACCCTGTACGACAAAGAACTGTCAGAAGTCATGCTTTATGTTTCCTAAACCACATCTGTACATGTACAGAAGTCAAAAGGTTTCCTTGGAATAAAATTGAAGTATTATAAATGTATATCAGGGATGTATCGTCCGTTGTAATTTGTGTATGCAAACTTCTTGTAATTCTGGGAGTTTTATTCCTGCTGTAAGGTTTGCTTTTTGGTGTCACGTTTAAATAAATAACAGGTATATCATGAGCTTGGCTATTTCACTTACAGTAACTCAATCACATATAAAAGATCAGCTTTATAAACTTGTTTCTTGCCCTCTGCAGACCAGCCTTGGTGCACCTCCCCCATGGACGCCCCCTGGTGGAACCTACCAGGACTACAAGAACGGAAACCTGTACAGCAACCCTTACAACAACTACTCCAGCTACCCCGCAGTCAGCGAGCATTCCTACGAGCGCGCCAGCATAGCTTCCCGCGCCTCACGAGCGTCAGAGGCAGCTAAAAAACCTAGAATGATGACGCATGTATAGAAACGTTGTGGGTGGGGGGATATGCACATTTTGATTTAGTGCGATAGAAAACAAGGCAACGACAAAAACATACATACATAAAATGCCTGGTCATGGTAGTGTTTCGTTCATCAGTTAGACTGTAGATATATATGTAATGGAGTAGGTAAAAATCGAATTCTCTGCCAAGGTGTATGGCAGTCTCTTAGATAGCCATATACTTAAAAGTATGACCATTTTCTGTGGTGTGGAGGCCTAGCCGGGTTGTTACCAAACCTATTTTAGCTCCTGAGTCCTTATCCTCTCTGTTATTTGTGGTCTGGTAAGCAGGCTAGTGGAGGCCATGCAAAAGCTCTCTTAGTACTTGTCTAGTACTCCATTATGTATCATGGCTCAAACTTCCCAAGTCCAACTGACAATGCTGACCTGTACTCTAGCTGCCAGAGTGCCGTTTTTCTTCCGGAATTCCGTATATTTTCTTCTGCAAGCACTGACAGGTAGCCAACACCAACAATCATTATTTACAGGTGTAAAACTTGGTAGAAGAGGACCTGCTGTAACCTGTAGTGTTGGTATTTGTACTTGTGAAGGAGAGACGAAAACATGCAGTGAAGACATTCTTATGATAGTTTTTGATACTCGAACAAAGTATATATACTTGAGTTTATCTGTTGCAAAGGTGTTGAAAGGTCTTTTCAATGAAGAGAGTGATATGTGACATATACTGATGGTCTAATTACTCATTAATTACTCAAAATTGTCATTAGAAAATGTTATTCCACTGTTTACAGTTTTGTAGCACTGTTAAATCCATGTCCAGGTATATATTTCGTCTTCATAGTCAAAGATGTACAAGTCGAGGTATACAGTGAAATCAAGTGTATTACATGTACTAAGCTACTCAGACTGCTAAAAGGTGAACAAATGCAACTGCACTTGTCAGTGGAAAGACACTGGCAGCTTGTCATATCTCCTGTGGTAGAAGTATGTACAATGTATTATACGATAAGTGGATTCGATATGTTGTCGCTGTACAATATATATGTGTGCAGAATGAATTTTTACTTCAAATTTCCTTGTGTCTTATGTAGACTTATTGCCTGCACCACTGTCCATCACATTTCATAAGGACAAGTGCAAATCAGTGAAATACAAGAAATTTTATTCAAGCAGAGTACATCACAAAATTTTATCTTGCAAAAACTGACAATTGAAGTAGATAGGCTAGATTAAAATTTAGATAAATGCATACATGATTTTTTTGCTGCAGTTTGTTGATCACTATTTTGTGCACCCAGCATTGGAACACTGACACTGGCATTATAATAGATAGAAAGACAGGCAATAAGTTGATCAAATTGCCAATTTGGATACAATATGTACTTTGATCTGTAAATATGTTGTAGCAATAGCGTGCTCATGTTGTAGCAAAGTAGTGTAAAAAGAACTGTGACAGCAGTTTGTTGTCCTGTGGCAATTGTACTTAATTTGACATTATATCAATATGTGTCAGACATGTAGACACTGCCTTTTTAAGAAATATTGCTTATGTTCAGTACTACATGGATTATAGCTTTGTACAGAAAATAGCGTCTTAATCATGTCCTGAGGAGCAAAATTTACTTTTATACTTATGTAAATGGCATTTTGTAAATATCTAACGACTTTAGTATTGTGACTGAGCTTCATACTTACAAATTCATTATATTCAGGTGCTCTGCATGAAAGCTTACAAGTAGAGAGAGGCGGTAGAAGGTAGGATAGGGATAGGAGTATTTTAACAAAGCCCACTTTTGGGATGTCTCTATTAACACTTTTATTGACATGTATTTAAAAGTCCCTTGATCTTTTTGGCTTTGAAAGCCTTTTATTTATCGATCACCATATCTGTACATTACTTGTCCTGTGTGTTACACAGTATGTGTCTTGCATTGTTGTCAATAAAGCAATATACAGTAATGCTGTCATCTGTACTTTTGTATTTGTGGTTGGACAAGTCACATGTCACTGGGCGGGATGCCCTAGATAGGGCTTTGTCCAGTATCATATAGAATAGAATAGAATAGAATAGAATAGAATAGAATAGAATAGAATAGAATAGAATAGAATAGAATGTCATTTACACCTCTAGTGTTGGAAGCATATGTATATGTCGGGGGAGAGGCTCCAATTGGATAGACCAAGGATAAACTCACTGTCAACAGAAAGTCTTTACAAATTTCATTCATGCCACGGACTGACTTGAAATTTACTATTTGAAAATTTGAAGAAAAAAGGAGGTAAAAAATTAAGACACCATGACAAAACCTAACAAATTTATAACATCCAGATCGGATTCTTTGTTGATCAAGGTTGGATTCTACCAGATTTGAGTCTATACCCTGACATGACATATATATATACATGAATGTGAAATGAATGGATGGGCACTCAAAAGAAGGAGCCTCCAACCTCTTGAGTTGTTGGCAGGAATATGGTACACAACCAGTAGCATATTCATTTTGAAAGAATGATTGTTTTCCCCTCAATGTACTCGCCAAAATCACAGTGAAGCCTTACGGGGAATAGCTTCCAGCTGGTAGGGCTTGGGCTGAAGAGTGACGCCGATCTCTCCAGACAGATCTGGCTCAGGCACGCCCTCTGGCAGTTTGAAGGTGAACTGCTGCAGCAGGGACGTGAGGAACAGGAAAAGTTCCATCTTGGCCAGCTGCTCGCCGAGGCAAATTCTCCTTCCTGCACAGAGATGGAGCAATATTGAAGTACATTTGTAGTTGAAACGGTAGATGATTGTGCCATAACAAGTCCTTAATGGATCTACTTTTAGATACATCATTCTTTAAGTAATTTTATTCCTGCAGAATGTTTCCAATACCAACAGAAGCAGTGTCATGAAGGCAAAAATGTAACTTTTTCCAAAGAAACTGATTACGAATCATTGATCTAGATGCACTGAACATAGCATAACGTTACTAACTGTAACGTAGCTACGTTACTAACTGTAACGTAGCTTAAAAAATAAACCGTTTCGATTATTATTGGCAGTTTGATCGACAACACCAACCTGTGGAGAACGGCATGAAGGCCTCCGGGACCTTGACCCTCCCGCTGCCGTCCAGGAACCTGCCGGGGTCGAACGTGTCCGGGTGGGGCCAGTAGGCGGGGTCCATGTGGACGGACCACAGGTTCACCCACACCTGGGTGTGCGCGGGGATGTCGTACCCCTGCAGGCTGGTCGGGGACGAGGTGCAGTGGGGCACGGACAGGGGGAACCGTGGTGCGGATACGCTGGCTCTCCAGGATGGTCGCTTCTGTGTAGGGCAGCTCCTCGCGTCTGGAGTACGCCGGGATTTCGTCGCTTCCGACCACGGCATCCAGCTCTTCTTGGACTTTCCGCTGCCAGGCAGGGTTCAGCGCGAGGTACAGCAGTGCCCAGGACAGAGTCGTCGCCGTCGTTTCCGTGCCTGCCGCTATGAAATCACTCACAATGTACAGAATGTTATCCTCTTTCATGAAGCTTTCGCTCCTGTGCAGTTCCAACAGGCACATGTCAATTACGTCCCGGATCTCCGAAGGGTCGAACGTCTTCTTGTGGTGGTCGAGTATCATTTGATACCGCCGAAGAAAGCGAACTTCACATTCTTTCCACTTGTTAAACATGCCACGAAGTCCGGGAACATATCGTAGTGTGGGATAAAAGTTCAGAATCTGGGCCTGAAGAAACAGCTTGCAGGTGACGTCAACTCTCTTCAGTTCTTCCTCGTACTCCTGATCATCTGTCTCAAACCGTCTTCCGATTGCAATGGTATTGATGACATTGCCGACTCCAATTTGAAGGAAGCGACTAGCATCGAAAGGCCTTCCATTCATATCCTATGTATGAAAAGAAAATGTGGGATGGAGATGTACAATCTTTTATGTTCCATAGAATGTTCCATAGAATGTTCCATAGAATGTCCCATAGAATGTCCTATAGAATGTTCCATAGAATGTTCCATAGAATAATTCGAATGCGTTTCGCGTGCGCCGCTTTCGAAAATTCGAATACGGATTCGAACTTCGGAATTCATCTTGTTACAATTTCTTCTTTGTTTAGGGACACCAAAATTTCTCAATTTTTTTACACATTCCGCATCGAAATATTTTTTCGGGCGAGTATGACATAAAATGCAACACGATGTATTCTATTCTTTATGTATCTGCAATATCACGTACCAGTTATAGTTATATGACTCACTCAGATAATGGACTTACCTGAAAGCTCTGACAAAGTCGGCGGCATTCACACTGAATGCTGGGCTCGAGTGTTTTCTTCCCCATACCAAAGTGGCGGAGACTGGACAGACCGAAGCGTCGAAAACTCTTCCAGGCGTCCCCATACTTTCGCATGATGATTCCTGTAGAACATTGTAACGTTACGGTTTCAAGTAGAGTTCTATAAAAGCATTCAGCTCAGCCATGACATAGAGAACGGCTGTCGACGTCATTTTGCCATACCTTGAGGAAAAAACGCAGATCTTTTCAACTCTTTGTTTGTAGGAACCCTTTATCTTGTGTGTAAATACAGTGACTGGGTGCATGGCTGTTGCCAGGGACACTACATGTATAATATAGACACGTGATATAGGCTATTTCCTCATACTCTCCAAGCAGAGGTTTAGGCTTCAGCTAATTGTTGGCGTGATTTGAGGCGTTTCATCTTTTATCTTGTATTGATATCTTTTTCAGTAGTATGCCAACCTTAATGGAGTGGTAAATGGTTCATGGATACAGCCTGCTGACCAATTTGATACTGCCTTTACAGCCACCAAAATACATGTATCTGTTTGGGGTTGGAGATGTGGGTGCGGCCAAGCACGCGTCGGCATTGACATTGTTAGCCCAGGAAAGGGACAGGGAAAGCTGATAACATATCAAAATAGATTTAACGTTACCTTTCCTGGCGAAAGTAGCTTCCGTGAGGAACAGAGCGGGTCTGTCCGAGAAGTGTGCGCCCTTCATGACCAGGGCCTCCCTGACGGCGGCGCACCCGTTCACAACCACCACGTCCTGCGGACCCATCCGCAGGCTGAACACGTCTCCGTACCGGCGCCGCCACGCCGTCAGCTGCAGGTGGGGCTCCCGCGGGCTCAGAGACAGCAGGTTCCCCAGGAACGGCAGCCCGGGGGGGCTGGGGGGTAACTTGTCGGGACGTCTGCGGCGTCCCACCCATGTCCGGAGACAGAGGAGAGACAGGAGGAACGTACAGACCAACACAAGGCCTGTGGTCAGCTCCACGGACTCCATTGCCACGCACTAATTTATTTTACCGAAATTCAGACAACGTGAAAACAGGTTTGGCCAGGTTTGTATGCGCGTAACAGTGTGGGGTTTATAGGGGCTACCAACTGACCCGGCCGATGGGTCTAGACCTTTTAGCCGATTCGGTAGAAGCGTCGAATTGTAAGCTGGCGCCCGGGGGCCGTGGGTTCGATCCCAGCTTTGAAAGCCTTTTATTTATCGATCACCATATCTGTACATTACTTGTCCTGTGTGTTACACAGTATGTGTCTTGCATTGTTGTCAATAAAGCAATATACAGTAATGCTGTCATTTATATGTTTGTATTTGTGGTTAGACATGCCATACACGATTCTCTTGTTTTAGACATATGTAACGTTATATGTCAGAGGAAAGACTCCAATTGGGTAGACGTATTGTCAACAGAAAGTCTTTTTTAACTTTGATTAATGCCACTTTAGATCAATGGACTGACTTGAAATTTAGGATTTGAAAAATTAAAAAAATATTTGCTTATTGGTCTGCTCTTCAAGATTACATTGAAGGCTTGCGGGGAATAGCTTCCAGCTTGTAGGGTTTGGGCAGAAGTGTGACGCCGATCTCTCCTGACAGATCTGGCTCAGGCGCGTTCTCTGGCAGTTTGAAGGTGAACTGCTGCAGCAGGGACGTGAGGAACAGGAAAAGTTCCATCTTGGCCAGCTGCTCGCCGAGGCAAATTCTCCTACCTGGAAAGACAGAGAGCAATGCGTTAGAAACATTAGACGATCATTACCAACTGTTATGTAGTTAGATTTCACTAACTACTGACAGTTTGACACCACCTACCTGTGGAGAACGGCATGAAGGCCTCCGGGACCTTGACCCTCCCACTGCCGTCCAAGAACCTGCCGGGCTCGAACGTGTCCGGGTGGGGCCAGTAGGCGGGGTCCATGTGGACGGACCACAGGTTCACCCACACCTGGGTGTGCGCGGGGATGTCGTACCCCTGCAGGCTGGTCGGGGACGAGGTGCAGTGGGGCACGGACAGGGGAACCGTGGTGCGGATGCGCTGGCTCTCCAGGATGGTCGCTTCTGTGTAGGGCAGCTCCTCGCGTCTGGAGTACGCCGGGATGTCGTCGCTTCCGACCACGGCATCCAGCTCTTCTTGGACTTTCCGCTGCCAGGCTGGGTTCAGCGCGAGGTACAGCAGTGCCCAGGACAGAGTTGTCGCCGTCGTTTCCGTACCTGCCACTATGAAATCACCTACGATGTGCAGCACGTTATCCTCTCTCATGAAGCTTTCGCTTCCCTTTCTTTTGTGCAGTTCCAGCAGACACATGTCAATTAAGTCCCGGGTCTCCGAAGGGTCGAACGTCTTCTTGTGGTGGTCGATTATCATTTGATACCGCCGAAGTGATTGAAAGGCACATTCTTTCCACTTGTTAAACATGCCACGAAGTCCGGGAACATATCGTAGTGTGGGATAAAAGTTCAGAATCTGGGCCTGAAGAAACAGCTTGAAGGCGGAGTCAACTCTCCTCAGTTCTTCCTCGTACTCCTGATCATCTGTCTCAAACCGTCTTCCGATTGCAATGGTATTGATGACATTGCCGACGGCAATTTGAAGGAGGCGGCTCGCATCGAAAGGCCTTCCATCCATATCCTATAAGAGAAAAATGTGGCCCTGTCAGTGAGACGTAGAATGTTCCATAGAATAATTCGAATGTTCCATAGAATAATTCGAACGCGTTTCACCTGTTCGCGTGCGTCGCTTTCGAAAATTCGAATACGGATTCGGACGTTGGTATCGATCTTGTTACAATTTCTTTTTGTGTTTGTTTCTCTGTTTGTTTGTTTGTTTGTTTGTTTGTTTGCTTTGGGACACCAAATTTTCTCAACTTTTCACACATTTCGCATTGAAATTGAGTTTTTTTTTCTCGGGTGGGTATGATGTAAATAAAATACAACACGGTGTAACTTTACTAGTATTCTATATGTAACATGTTATCCTTTATTAATTCGTTCATGCAATATTCCTTGTTATATGACTTAAGATAATAGACTTACCTGAAAGCTCTGACAAAGTCGGCGGCATTCCTGCTGAATGCTGGGCTCCAGTGTTTTCTTGCCGACACCGAAGTGGCGAAGACTGGACAGACCGAAACGTCGGAAGCTCTTCCAGTCATCTCCATACTTTCGCAAGATGATTCCTGTAGAACATTGTAACGTTACGGTTTCAAGGTTAGATAAAGGTCGAAAAAAACATTCAGCTCGGTCATGACACAGCCCGGAGGTCAACAAGCTTCATTTTGTCATTAACGTTATAGTAAAAAAAACAGATCTTTTCAACTCTTTGTAGGAACCATTTTATCTTGTGTGTACTCGTAAATACACTGACTTAATAGCCTGGGTGCCAGGCTGTTGCCAGGGGCAGTATATAGGCTATTTCCTCGAACTCTCCAAGCAGAGGTTTAGGCTAATTTTTTGGCGTGTGATAGGCGTTTTTATCTGGCTCTCTTTTTTGTACTGATATCTATTTTAAGCCAACCTTACTGGAGTGTCAAATGGTACATGGATGCAGCCTGCTAGCCAATTTGATACTGCCTCTACAGCCACCAAAATCTGCTTGGGGGTGGAGATGTGGGTGGGTGCGATTGCGGCCAAGCACGGGTCGGCAATGTTATAATGTTAGCTCATGAAGGGTCGGGACAGAAAAGCTAACAACATAGATTTACCTTTCCTGGAGGAAGTAACTTCCGTGAGCAACAGAGAGGGTCTGTCCGAGAAGTGGGCCCCTTCATGACCAGGGCTTCCCTGACGGCGGCGCACCCGTTATCATGTATTGATATCTTTTTCAGTAGTATGCCAACTTTAATGGAGTGGTAAATGGTTCATGGATACAGCCTGCTGACCAATCTGATACTGCCTTTACAGCCACCAAAATACATGTATCTGGTTGGGGTTGGAGATGTGGGTGAGGCTAAGCACGCGTCGGCATTGTTAGCCCAGGAAAGGGACAGAAAAGCTGATAACATATCAAAATAGATTTAACGTTACCTTTCCTGGCGAAAGTAGCTTCCGTAAGGAACAGAGCGGGTCTGTCCGAGAAGTGTGCGCCCTTCATGACCAGGGCCTCCCTGACGGCGGCGCACCCGTTCACAACCACCACGTCCTGCGGACCCATCCGCAGGCTGAACACGTCTCCGTACCGGCGCCGCCACGCCGTCAGCTGCAGGTGGGGCTCCCGCGGGCTCAGGGACAGCAGGTTCCCCAGGAACGGCAGCCCGGGGGGGCTGGGGGGAAACTTGTCGGGACGTCTGCGGCGTCCCACCCATGTCCGGAGACAGAGGAGAGACAGGAGGAACGTACAGACCCACACAAGGCCTGTGGTCAAGTCCACGGACTCAATTGTCACGCACTAATTACGTTATTTTGTACCGTAATGCAGACAACGGAAAAACAGGTCAAAGTCGAATGACCTTTAGTACACTTTCTGTATGCGTGCCGTGTAACCAAGGAGGTTATTTTAGGACCCCCTTGGTGTATATGATCATATATTGGTGTAACGTTTCGTCTAGGTTGCAACCAATTCATGTGACCTGGTGGCATTGTCGTGCACTTCGTTATTTTACTAGCAGCCTGCTATTATTGGCTCCGGCTCGGTCGTTGCAACTCTCGCTGGGGATAACAAGTCCAAAGTCCAAGAACAAATGACCCTTACGTGCTCCATCATGTTTCAAGTTGAACGCTGGTACGTGCGCGCTGTTTGGCACATAACGTTATAACTACGCATACATCGAAATAAAGTACACCGACTTTCATAGATGACATGTAAGTTGTAACGTTATGTCACGGTTACTTGTTGCAGTGTTTAACAAACCATGATAACGTTATTGACTTTTACTCCACTGGAGCAGTCTATCTTGGCCGTGTTATACGTTGACGTGAGTAAATAGAGCAAGCGTTCTCATGATTCTTCGACTTTGACTTGTTTTTTCCATGGCCGTTACAATGTATGATCTAGCCTGGGCTCCGTCCGATTTGCTACGGGTCCCTAGCATATATAAATAGCCTGTCATTATCCATTATATAATTATAATTACCTTCGCAGATCTAGAAAGAAACTATATTGTTTTTGCTCTGTTTCTTCTTCTTCTCCAAAGAAAAAGGTCAATGACCTGCACCAGACGACAGTCACCATGGTAACTGGCGCTGTACAGAGGCACTAGATAATGTAGCAAGTGGCAGGACAGAGTTGGAGGGGATGGTCAGCATATAACACATTATATGAATGTACTTGAGTAAAATAAACAGAATAGTGTTTTATTGACCTAGACCATCCCCATTTAAAGGTTATTTTTTTTCTTACTCTCTTACTAGCTACATGAGCTGATTTCTAAAGAGGACTAAGAAACAAAACATAAAAACATTATGGATATGCTTTGCAAATGTTACCTTTCTAGTTTTTGTTAAACCCGAAGTTCAAGACTGCTGTAAACAGATTCTTGTTGAACTCCTCTTAGAGATTTTCTACTTTTTGACCATTATGTAGAATGTATTTGATAGGCTTATGTGTAATTAAGCGAGGGGAATTGATGTGGCATTATATTCAACCGAAAATCATCTATATACGATGTTAATATCAGGTTCACTTTGCACTGATTAGAAAAAATAACTATGATGTAACGTTAGATGTAAATTATATGTCGCGAGTAAATATGTCGAAAAGTAGAGCAAGCTAGGGTCATTCAACTTTGGCCTATTTTCCGGTGGCCGCCAGAATCGATTTGTCTGGCGATAAAATAACGTCTTGCATAGCAATGGAGTCCGTGGAGCTGACCACAGGCCTTGTGTGGGTCTGTACGTTCCTCCTGTCTCTCCTCTGTCTCCGGACATGGGTGGGACGCCGCAGACGTCCCGACAAGTTTCCCCCCAGCCCACCCGGGCTGCCGTTCCTGGGGAACCTGCTGTCCCTGAGCCCGCGGGAGCCCCACCTGCAGCTGACGGCGTGGCGGCGCCGGTACGGAGACGTGTTCAGCCTGCGGATGGGTCCGCAGAACGTGGTGGTTGTGAACGGGTGCGCCGCCGTCAGGGAGGCCCTGGTCATGAAGGGGGCTCACTTCTCGGACAGACCCTCTCTGTTACTCACCGATGTCTGCAACTGTAAGGAAGGTAATTAAAACGTTTTGCTGATCAGACTAATCAACCTTTACAACAATGAGCGAATCCCGGTAGAACAAATGAGAAGTTTAAAGACATATATACAAAGTTTACAAATTAAGTCGTATTGTAGTTACATCACACATTTGTGATTATGTACGTCAGTATGTGATTTTTCCAACATGAAAATTTTTCATGGATTGATTTTATACTTCCGTACGTTACCTCTTCTGAATCAGTTTATGATATAAGCATACACGTCCGAACATTTGGAACTATGGGTGCAAACATGCTGATCGACCAAGAATGGCATGACCCGTAAATACATGCTTGAGGTCAACGTCCAACCTCTTTATACCTTGGTACAATGTCAAAGTCACTGACAACCGTCACAGGTAAGAAGGCTAACAACAAGGCTAACTCAGACTATTTTTCTACTACAGGCTTAATAATGGCAAAATACGGCAAGAAATGGAAGAGTTTTCGGCGCTTTGGTCTGTCAGCTCTTCGCCACTTCGGTGTTGGCAAGGAGAAAATGGAACCAATCATCCGACGTGAATGTAGGGTACTTGTTTCATGTTTTAAGGTGAGAACACTATATAAGGGACATATCACACATCGCATTGTTTGCTCATGTAGCACTTGTGATAGCAATTGCCGACGTCTCCTTCTGATTCTTTTGCAAAAGCTTTTTTTCATTTTTTTGTTCCTTTCATCTTTAATTGTACATAGGAGGTACAACACAGGATCAATCCGACTACTGACACCAGCGCAGCTCCAGTTATTGACGAAAACGCTTCAGACACCTCCCCCTGACCCGTGCTACGCTTTATAATAGTGGTCATAATAAAAGATTTCCGCTCGTGTATTTCCAAACATTGCCTTTTGTACGGCATCAATGCATTTATCATTTTGTACCACGTTTAGGACCAGGAGGGGAGACCTTTCCAAGTCAGTCGCTTCATCCAGACCGCTGTCTGTAACGTCATCGCCTCTATTGTACTCGGGACACGGTTCGAACCTGACGCCCCGGAATATAAAGAGGAGATTGAGCGAGTCGATCGCACCTTCCAGCTATTCCTGGACGCCCAGCCGCTGAACTTTTACCCAGCGTTGAGGCACGTCCCCGGCTTTCGCGGCATGTTCAGGGAATGGGTGGAGATGGACCACAAATCTGATCAGTGGTACGGCAAGTTCATTGCTGAACACAAGGAGACTTTCGACCCCACCAACATACGCGATCTCATCGATATGTGCCTGCTGGAAATCGAGCAGAAGAGTGTAAGCGAGACATTTGTTACGGAGGTGACCATACGTCACATTGCGTCGGAGTTCTTCGACGCAGGCACGGAAACGACGACGACGACCCTCGGCTGGGCACTGCTGTACCTCGCGCTGAACCCAGCCTGGCAGCGGAAAGTCCAAGAAGAGCTGGATGCCGTGGTCGGAAGCGACGAAATCCCGGCGTACTCCAGACGCGAGGAGCTGCCCTACACAGAAGCGACCATCCTGGAGAGCCAGCGCATCCGCACCACGGTTCCCCTGTCCGTGCCCCACTGCACCTCGTCCCCGACCAGCCTGCAGGGGTACGACATCCCCGCGCACACCCAGGTGTGGGTGAACCTGTGGTCCGTCCACATGGACCCCGCCTACTGGCCCCACCCGGACACGTTCGACCCCGGCAGGTTCCTGGACGGCAGCGGGAGGGTCAAGGTCCCGGAGGCCTTCATGCCGTTCTCCACAGGTAGGTGCTGTCAGGTCCTGTCAGGCAGCTAGGCAAAACGTACAATTTAGCTACGTTACATGTTTAAACTTAAAACTTAAGATCCAACACAGAATTTCTCTCTCACCTAGAGCTTTCGATCTATCACCCTGGTCTTCATCAGAAGACTGATCCAGTCACGTGGCTTCTTTGAGAAGTCAACACTGGGTCAAGGGTGTTGACGTCACACTACTCCAGCTATTCCTAGACGCACAACCGACATCGTCTACGCTCTCCTGTAGACGATGTCGGCCCCCGTCTCGGTTGAGTGAATGGCTTCTCTTTTTTCTTCTCTCTTTATTAGCGTGGTTTTTATTAGATGTTACCTCTGTCTCTCTTGATACATAGGAAGAAGAATTTGCCTCGGCGAGCAGCTGGCCAAGATGGAACTTTTCCTGTTCCTCACGTCCCTGCTGCAGCAGTTCACCTTCAAACTACCAGAGGGCGCGCCTGAGCCAGATCTGTCTGGGGTGATGGGAGCCACTCTCCTGCCCGGGCCGTACAAGATACTGGCCATCTGTCGCAAGACGTAGAAGCACTGAGGTTTAAACCTCCTTGGTAGAAGCATGCCACTGTCAATTTTGTTAAACCCTGCACGACTATGTCGTAAATGTCATCTATGAAAGTTGCTGTACTTGTGTTGTGTCAATAAGATTTAAAGATAAGAAATAAAGATTTTATGGGGGCCTGCATGCCCTTTCGTAAAGGCGTAATCAGGCCTTTTTAGTCTTCGTAATCCGTAGGCAGCCTCCCAAAAAGTCAACGTAATCAGTACATTAGCCGCAAAGCGTAAAGTCGTAGTCAGCTCTGAGACTTTAAACGTAATTGGTAATCGACGGCGAAGTTTTGCGTAATTCGTAGTCACTACCATACCCCCCAGCCCCCTCCCCATGCAGGCCCTAGACTAGTGTACGTGCCACACAGCGCGCGCACGTACATAGAACACGCAAGGGTCATTTGGTCGTTGATTTCGACCTTGTTATTCCCAAGGCTATGATCGAGTCAGAGCTAATGTCAATAGACTGCTTCTATGTCAATACCATGAGATGAGACACCACCGCTGCAGTGGTATATGAATCAGTTGCGACGTGATGTCACACCAAGAATGTCCTATATAACCTCCTCTTGGCGCTCGACGCGCAAGTAAATAGAGCGGGCTTCAACTTTGGCCTTGGACGCTATTAAAAAGGATCTTATCGATGCCAGGCACAGGATAGACAAACACGTAGTGGATGGCAATGGAGTCCGTGGACCTGAGCACAGGCCTTGTGTGGGTCTGTACGTTCCTCCTGTCTCTCCTCTGTCTCCGGACATGGGTGGGACGCCGCAGACGTCCCGACAAGTTTCCCCCCAGCCCCCCCGGGCTGCCGTTCCTGGGGAACCTGCTGTCCCTGAGCCCACGGGAGCCCCACCTGCAGCTGACGGCGTGGCGGCGCCGGTACGGAGACGTGTTCAGCCTGCGGATGGGTCCGCAGGACGTGGTGGTTGTGAACGGGTGCGCCGCCGTCAGGGAGGCCCTGGTCATGAAGGGGGCCCACATCTCGGACAGACCCGCTCTGTTCATCACCGATGCCTTCGACTGTAGGGAAGAAGGTAAATGTTTTGCTGATCAGGCTACTAGGGTTTAACAAAAACTAGAAAGGTATCATTTGCAAGGCATAAGGAAAATTGTACTTTCACGTCGTGGGAGCTACCGGTAAACACTCTGTTGCATATATGGCGACCAGCAACCACAGGAGTTGGTCAAGTTTAGAGGACGTCCCTGTCGGACTGTTTTCCAACATTGGCCTACGCGTAGTTTTCTGCTATCTGTCAGGTGGATGTCGAAAAAGTCGGCATCCAATAAACATGAACTAACCCACACTGTGTCTACTGCAGGCGTGACCTTAGGAAAATACGGCAAGAAATGGAAGTATTTACGGCGCTTTGGTCTGTCTGCTCTTCGTCACTTCGGTGTTGGCAAGGAGAAAATGCAACCAATCATCCGACGTGAATGTAGGGTACTTGTTTCATGTTTTAAGGTGGGCATACAACGCAAATATTGCTTCTTTGCAATGGTCTAGATATTTTTGTTCATATGCATGTTACAGTTGTTTCCTTCTCAATCTCTTGTGAAAGTTTTTCTTATTTTCTTTCTTTCACCTTTAAGTGTACATATGAGGTTAGCAGCTCAGTTATTCGTTAAGCACGAAATGACATTGACGAAAGCGCTTCAAACACCCCACTTTTCCCCTGCTAAGCTTAGTGGTCATAAAAGTGATTTGAGATCACCGCATGTATATACGAACATTGCATCTTGTCAAGGAGCTTGACAGCTTATTGCTTTTGTCAGGTGTTAATTATCATTATGTACCACGTTTAGGACCAGGAGGGGAGACCTTTCGAAGTCAGCCGCTTCATCCAGACCGCTGTCTGTAACGTCATCGCCTCTATCGTGCTCGGCAGACGGTTCGAACCCGACGACCCAAATTTCAAAGAGGAGATTGAGCGAGTCGATCGCACCTTCCAGCTATTCCTGGACGCCCAGCCGCTAAATTTTTACCCAGCATTGAGGCACGTCCCCGGCTTTCGCGGCATGTTAAAGGAATGGGAGAAAATCTACCACAAGTCGCATCAGTGGTTTGGCAAGTTTGTTGCGGACCACAAGGAGACTTTCGATCCAACAAACATACGGGATCTCATCGACATGTGCCTGCTGGAGATCGAGCAGAAGAGTGGAAGGGAGATGTCTGTGACGGAGGTGACCATACCTCACATTACGAAGGAGCTCTTCGACGCAGGTACGGAAACGACGGCGACGACCCTCGGCTGGGCACTGCTGTACCTCGCGCTGAACCCAGACTGGCAGCGGAAAGTCCAAGACGAGCTGGATGCCATAGTCGGAAGCGACGAAATCCCGGCGTACTCCAGACGCGAGGAGCTTCCCTACACAGAAGCGACCATCCTGGAGAGCCTGCGCATCCGCACTACGGTTCCCCTGGCCCTGCCCCACAGCACCTCGTCCCCGACCAGCCTGCAGGGGTACGACATCCCCGCGCACACCCAGGTGTGGGTGAACCTGTGGTCCGTCCACATGGACCCCGCCTACTGGCCCCACCCGGACACGTTCGACCCCGGCAGGTTCCTGGACGGCAGCGGGAGGGTCAAGGTCCCGGAGGCCTTTATGCCGTTCTCCACAGGTAGGTGCTGTCAGACAGGCAAAAGGTACAATTTATCTACGTTGCAGTTGGTTTATCTGTTACGGTTGTTTCATCCCGCTCCCATGGCTTCCATAGAACGATTCGAACGCGTTTCGATTAACCGCGTGCGCCGCTTTCGAAAATTCGAATACAGAATTCGGACGTTTGTTCGAATTGATGTTTTTGCATTTTAGGTTTAGGGACACGAAATTTTCGCTCATTAATTTTCACTCATTTAATTTGGCATTGAATGGTGCGTTTTCTTGGGTGGGTATGACATAAATAGAATACAACACAGTTTGAAAGTCTGAGTTTGAGTCCCAGGCCCTCCCGCAGGTTGGATTTGATTTGGTGTCCGTGCTGCTGTTTCATTCCAGGTCTCATGTCATTGTTCTTCATTCCCATACATGGGGACGTCCTTGACATGGAGGAGCACAAAACTTTGCTTGCATTGCTGCATCTCTGCAGAATTCACCCATTGCTACTTCCCCTCTTTATTTAACGATGTTACCCCCCTCTCTCTCCCCTCTCTCCCTCTCTC